ACTTGGAGGTGCATGGGTACTTGTAAGTAGGGTTTGTCAGCAGAATATCTAAAATTATAACCTATATTAGGGGACTTATAACTCCATTGATGTTAAAGGAAACTACAGGTGGGGAGTTTAGGGTATATAGGCCTTCTATACGGCTTCTATAAGGTATATAGACCTTCTACAAGGCTCCTATAACGGAACTACCCACCTGAAAATGTCCAAGATTCATAACCTCCCATGAACCTCCTAGTAAGGTTCAGGGTTCATGTAATACTGTAGGAAGCAATTCCCTAAACCCTAAACCCTAAACCCTAAATCCTAAACCTGGTCCAGAACACCGGAAATACGAGGATCCAAGTAAGGAGCCCTAATCAAAGAGCCAAAGTTTCTGGCCATCAGGCTCCTATAAGAGTAAGGATTAGGGGGGTTTAGGGTTTAGGGGTTAGGGTTTAGGAGTTAGGATCAGGCGGACCCTCGTGAAAATATCGACACTCTCAATAAGGTCCTCTTTAAGAGAGCCACAATAAGTCAAGAAGGGTTTCCTTTCAGGGGTCTCCGTAATGCTACCTAGGATCCTATAGTCGGGTCTAGCTAAACCCTAAACTCGAAGCCCTACACCGTAAGCCCTAAACCCTAGGCCCTACACCCTAAGCCCGAAGCCCTAAACCCTAGGCCCTAAACCCTAAACCCTAAACCCAAAGCCCTAAACCCTAAACCCCTAAATGAGGGTTTAAGGTGTCGGGTCTTGCGGCTGAGGTTCGGTGTTAAGCCCCGCACGAAAAGCTTTAAACCATTACAACTAATTACCGGAGCTTAGGGTCTAGGGGTTTAGGGGTTTAGGGCTTCGGGTTTAGGGGTTTAAGGTTTAGGGGTTTAGGGGTTCAGGGGTTTAGGGTCTACATTGCAGCTGTACAGGCTTTGGCGCTGGGGGCTGCTGCAGATTTCTTCTGAGCTGGTTCCTCTGCCGCCTCTGCTGGTCGCTTCATGTTGCACGGAGCGCCCAACGATACTGGAGATGCTCTTTGAGCCCGAGATGCTGAGTACTAACGAGGACAATGTAGGAACCTGATTAAGAAACCCTGGCCCTATAACCCCAAAATAATAGTGTTCATATACAGAACCCTAATAAGGACCCAGGGTTTCTTAATCAGGTTCCTACATTACGGAATCGCAAGCTGCCAACCTATCTCTGCACAGTGACACTAAAGGGTCCATGTACCCAAATAGGAGATACTTTGGCCTTAAAGTAGTTGCTATTTGGGTACTTTGGGGCCAAAGTATCTACTATTTGGGCACATGGACCCTTAGGGGCCACCAAGACACGAAGGTTGATGTTCATCAAATTGAACCGAAGTGGTTCATTAGAGTCAACCACTGGGTTATGTTTTCTCGAGGATCCGTTTATGGTAAGTCAATCTAGACTCTGGGTCTTGGGGTCTATAGGGTACGCGGAAACTATAATGTAGACCCACATTGTTCTTTCAAAGCCCTTTCCGAATTTCCTAATTTCAGCTTCCCTATTCTGATCCTTGTGCTGGGCGAGGGGTGTGTTCATCAGGGTTAAAGTATAATTAATTATACCCCAACACCCTATTCTACACTATGTGAAGGCCCCAATATTGCCGCACTACAAATCAGAAAGAAGAAATGAGGGCCTAAACCCTTAACCCTAAACCCTGAACCCTAAACCCTGAACCGTAAACCCTGAACCCTTAACCCTAAACCCTGAACTAACCTGCCCACCAACCTCAACCCCTGCCTGTAGCCGCAAAAGCCAACCTTTTCAGGGCTCCTCATTATGGCTTCTCTAATGTAGGGGCCTTAATAATTAGAATAGGATTTTGGGGTCTATAATAAGGATAACCCCCCCCCAAAAAAATAGTAGAGGTACTTAGACTTACCTAGGCCGGTATATTACATACTTCCTTCCAGAAAAATACATTTTGGGGGTGCGCAGGCAAACCCCAAGCACGGGGACTCCGGCTGTCGATGGAGCAAGGCCAGCAATCCGAGAATCTCCGTGGCTCGGGCAGTGACCTTTTTCGTGTGCGGGTTTCAGAGTTTGGGGTTTACGGGGCTTAGTTTTCAAGGGTTTTGGGTTTAGGGTGGGGTTTGTGTTGGGGTTTCCCGGTTTCTGCACCTTTTTTGGTAGGATTTGTGTTTTCTTATAGTTTGTACCTGAGCTGAATTCAGCGCTTACACAGGGTCTGCAGTCTGGGCAGGGATTAGGCAACCTTCAGTTATCATGGTTGTTGTTGTTGTTGTTGCTGTTGCTGTTGCTGTTGCTGTTGCTGTTGCTGTTGCTGTTGCTGTTGCTGTTGTCGTTGTGGTTGTGGTTGTTGTCGCTGTTGTTGTTGTTGTTGTTGGCGGTGGTGGTGGTGGTGGTGGCTCCCCCCTTTACAACAACCGCCCACACTACGCCACGTTTCCATCCGGGTATGGGAATCTGCGAAGTTTAGAAGAGGTTTCATGAGTTTTGTAAGGGGGTTGGAATTTACCAGTGGCCAGCCTGCTACACTCTGGCCCCTCCAGGTCGTGTGTGTGGAATGGACAAGAGTGCCTCCAGATTTTTGGGGAATGCAAGCCATGAGCCAAAATCCATGCAAACACACACAAGATCCATGCAAATATACACAAAATCCATGTACACATACGCAAGGTCTATGCACATATACACAAAATATATACAAAATCCACGCAAATACACAAAATTCATGCAAATATACACAAAATCTATGCAAATATACTCACACATCTATGCAAATATACACAAAATATATACAAAATCCACGCAAACACACACACACAATCCATGCAAATACACACAACATATACACAACCTATATGCAAATATACACAAAATGTATACAAAATCCACGCAAATACACACACACACACAATCCATGCAAATACACACAAACATCATGCAAGACTGCAAAGCATCCAAACCGTACACACCCTAGGCACTTTCTTGTTTTTTTTTGGGTGGGGTAAAACAACATGACAGGGTCCCTGTTTTTGGCTCTACCAACAAGGAACAAACAAAATACAGACAAAATGCAGATATATGGGTTGATAGGGTCCCTGTTTTTGTTTGTTCCTTGTTGTTGTTGTTGTTGTTGTTCTTGCATTGTTCGCCCTTGTTGGGGCTTGCGAAACCACTTGACGGCATGCGAGGTAGGGGCATACAAGGACATGGCGATGTCTCCTATTTTGCGAAGAAGCGCGGAAACCAAACAGACGGCTGTCGGCACTCGTCGCACGGGCACGTGCCCGTGCTTCTCAAGGCGATGCGAAACAAGAGGGCGCAAGCGGGCGCAAAGGGGAAAACAGGCAAAAGGTCAATATCAAACATGATCTGTGACAGTTTAGGGTTTAGCGGAAGCTTCAAAGAAAAATCGCAGCTACCTTACTCTTGGCCCCTCTTCAACAACAAACCAACCCTAAACCATAAACCTTGCAAGCCCTACAAATCCCGTGAAACCCTGCAAGCCCTACAACCCCTACAAACCCTAAACCCCGCATCCCTACAGCCTTCAATCCCGATTCTCTACAGCCCTAAACCCTAAATCCCAAAGCCCTATTACATCCCTAAATCCTACATTCCTAAACCTTACATCCACAAAGCCTTAAATCCCTAAGCCACCCGACCCTAAGCCCAGGTTCTTAACGTGACACGAGGGAGCTTCCTGCGCCCATCTAAGGATCGTCATCTTTTTGAACAGGGTAAGGCTCCGGTTATCCAAAAAATGGGCTACTGGGGTATATATAGCACGCGGTTAGTCGTGGTTAGTACCTACTATCGTGGCTAGTAACCTATAATTTAGGTACCCCAAATCCTAAACCCGGAACCGTTGGCTAGTAACCTACTATATAGGTACCCTAGACCCTGAACCCTGAACCACTATTGGGGGAATCTTGGATTACAAGGACCTTATTTAAGGTGTATTCCTTACTTAAGGGGTATTGGGTTCTCTGGGTATAGAACTGTGGCCCTCCAAAACCTGTAGGACGCCCCTCAAAGCCCAAAGATACACTGCAAAGAGGCGCAGGGACCCTGTGAGGATCCCTGAATTACCTTGTTTGCAAGCCCGAAACACCTAAACCCTGAAGCCCCTAATGGACGGGCCTTAATAAGTAGAATAGGATTTAGGGGTGGTATATATGATCCCGGCTCGGCCGGCCCCCCCC